GGTGACAGGGGAGGGCAGCCTCAGCTCTGTTCCTGTGCGCTGTATGGAGGGGCGGGGGAGTGGGTGTCTCTTCCCTCCAATCAGCTCTCAGAGCTCTTCTCACTGCGCTCTGCAATGTGTAATTTCAAATCTCCACCCCCTTTTTTCTGAACTCTCAGCTAAGCTGTATAACTTCTACACTTTGAATGGAGGTAGAGAAGACTACAGATAGGCAGGTACAACTTATGTAGGAGGATTTGTTTTATCTCTGTGTATCACCTGAAGCCAGTCACTTCATTTGGTATACATAAGGGTTTACAGCCACTTTAAATGAAAGAAAAAAATTTAAAAGCACCCCAACTTCCCCCTCATAAATGCAAATGTGCAGGTAGGCAGGGGAGTATTTACCACAAGGCATTTGCCTAGGGTGGCATTTTTCAGGGGAGCAGAGCTGTGAAGGTGGTGGGGGAAGATTTCCACTGTATGGGGAGCGGTGGTAGCGTAAGGCTCTCTCGGGTGAGGGGGGCTGGGGTGTTGTTGGTCAATGTCAGGCTCTCTTCGTAGGGGAGGGGGGTTGGTCGGTGTCAGGCTCTCTTCGTAGGGGAGGGGGGTTGGTCGGTGTCAGGCTCTCTAAGTAGGGGAGGGGGGTTGGTCGGTGTCAGGCTCTCTATGTAGGGGAGGGGGGTTGGTCGGTGTCAGGCTCTCTTCGTACGGGAGGGGGGTTGGTCGGTGTCAGGCTCTCTATGTAGGGGAGGGGGGTTGGTCGGTGTCAGGCTCTCTTCGTAGGGGAGGGGGGTTGGTCGGTGTCAGGCTCTCTTCGTAGGGGAGAGGGGGGTTGGTCGGTGTCAGGCTCTCTACGTAGGGGGGGGGGGTTGGTCGGTGTCAGGCTCTCTTTGTAGGGGAGGGGGGTTGGTCGGTGTCAGGGTCTCTTCGTAGGGGAGGGGGGTTGGTCGGTGTCAGGCTCTCTTCGTAGGGGAGGGGGTTTGGTCGGTGTCAGGCTCTCTTTGTAGTGGAGGGGGGTTGGTCGGTGTCAGGCTCTCTTCGTAGGGGAGTGGGGTTGGTCGGTGTCAGTGTCTCTATGTGGGGGAGAAGCCGATTTTTGTGTTGCCTAGGGCAGCATGAAACCTCAATACACCACTGCATGTAGGTCCGGCACACTTATGTAGAGTCCACCACACATGAGGCATTGCTGCAAACGCTGAAGAACAATAATTCCAGGACCGTTATTACCTCTAAACTGGCAAGCCGTAAAGGCCTTTGAAGCCTCAACTATGAAGAGTTTTAGGTACTGTAGTTTGTTGCCATTTCACAAGCGAGCACAATTTTAAATCTTGACACGTCATAATATGACTTTTATATTTTACCAAAAAAAATTAATAGATTGTGTTTGTGTGCATAAAAATTTATTGAAGCATATTTTTGCCTGAAAATTAGCATTTGATAAACAGCCTGCAAATATCGCGTGTCATTGCAACAGCCATAATTTTATTCCCCGGGGCCTCTGCTTTCAGAAAATATATAATGTTTAGGAGTTCTAAGTCATTTTCCGGCAACAAATGCTGATTTTAACATGTGCGTAAAAATGTCAAAATTGACCCAGACAGCTGGTGATTAAACCAGTGTTTCTCAATCTTTTTCAGTCAAAGCACCCTTTAAAATTATGGACAGTCCTGAGCAGGGGCGGACTGACAACTCATGGGGCCTCCTGGCAATAGGGGATCATGGGGCCCCTTTGTCCTTGCCCAAACTTACCCCTGGTACCTTTTTCATAGGCTCTTTTGAGTTTGGGCAAGGACACAGGGGCCCCATGATCCCCTATTGCCCGGGGGCCCCATGAGTTGTCAGTCCGCCCCTGCATCCTCCTTATCGACTGATGATGTCATTGGTTGTCAGGATGCCGGCAGCTAGAAGGTCGTAATGGCACACAATGAAGACCTGTGGCTTTGTGTAACTAAAAGGCTGGCTTGTTCCACCCGCTGGCTTGTATACAAGTTTTTGGCAATTTTTAGACATTTTGCCGAGGCACCCCTGAAAAAACCTCAAGGCACCTTAGGGTGCTTGGGCACTCTGGTTGAGAAAGGCTGACCTAATGTAATCATCCAATGTGGCACAGTGACAAGTGCTCAAAAAAAGTAACACGTGTTACGTAAACATCAACAATCAATATTTCATCTACTGCTCAAAAACACAAAGTGACAAGTGCTCTATAAACATCAACGATCAACATATCCTCAGAAAGTTCAGATCATGTGTTCTTATCAGTCCAAAATTTTGCAAAATACTAATAAAATATACAAAAAAGAAAAAAATATATCTAATTCATATGTGTTCTTGCAAAAAATTCTAACTGCGTATAAAACAATAAATAAGTGTTCTTCTGAAAAACAACCGTGGAAAAAAAATCATTGAAGAATTGTATCATTTGTTGCGTATGCACTTGGTCCAATCCACCACCTCAAACAATCACCACCATTTGCCCCAAACTGACTCACCAGATATATTGGAAAAACCAGCATACTCGCAGAAACCTACAATGTTTCTATAGCTGCTCAAGTATTGTATGTGGACCACAGACGAACGTTGTCGCTCAGAAGTATCCGATGCAGCAATATATGTCAAGAGAAGGAAGAACAGAAGAGATCCTCATCGCATAAAAATGTATATTTACTGTAAAAAGATTTGGCTTTGTGTAACTAAAAGGCCGGCTTGTTCCACCCATTAGCTTGTATACAGGTTTTGGGCAATTTTTAGACATTTTGCCGAGGCACCCCTGGAGAAACCTCAAGGCATCCCAGGGTGCCTGTGCACCCTTGTTGAGAAAGGCTGGATTAAACCAACAACCACAGTGCTTCAAGGCAGAAGTGCTAATCTCTAAGCTACTGTGCCACCCCACTACATGGCAGTGTGTTTGGGTCACCTGAGCAACATTCAGAGTTCCTCACTGGAGAGATGAGGAGAAGACATGGATGGATTTGGTGTATTCCAACACAGAAAGGGCAGTGATCCACAAAGACAGAGGGGCTGTCCTGTCATCTTCAAATCTGCTATATCAGTGTTGACTACAATATTTGTACTGTATTTTCAGGATTTGCATCAGGTGTACTTACCGTATTTTTCGCTCCATAAAACGCACCTGACCATAAGACGCACCTAAGTTTTAGAGGAGAAAAACAAGAAAAAAAATATTCTGAACTAATGGACTGCAGACACAGTACAGGGGATGACCAGAGACTGCGGACACAGTACAGGGGATGACCAGAGACTGCGGACACAGTACAGGGGATGACCAGAGACTGCGGACACAGTACAGGGGATGACCAGAGACTGCGGACACAGAACAGGAGATGATCAGAGACTGCGGACACAGTACAGGGGATGACCAGAGACTGCGGACAGTACAGGAGATGACCAGAGACTCCAGACACAGTGCAGGAGATGACCAGAGACTGCAGACACAGTGCAGGAGATGACCAGAGACTGCAGACAGTACAGGAGATGACCAGAGACTGCAGACATAGTACAGGAGATGACCAGACTGCAGACACAGTGCAGGAGATGACCAGAGACTGCAGACACAGTACAGGAAATGATCAGAGACTGCGGACACAGTGCAGGGGATGACCAGAGACTGCGGACACAGTGCAGGGGATGACCAGAGACTGCGGACAGTAAAGGAGATTACCAGAGACTGCGGACCTTTGGGGAGGGAGGGGGAGCGGGTACCTGAATTACACAGGTACCCACTCCCACTTCCGCGGAGTTGTCCTTCCTTCCTTCTTCCCGCGGCGGCTTCTGTGACAGCTGGGTGCCCACTGCGCATGCACGAGAAGCGCTGCGCTTTGTGAATGGCCTACCGAAAACCTATAAACTGATGCAACAAAACTCATAGTGAGCATTTTGTAAAAATATGGAATGAAGCTACTGATTAGAAGTACACCATCAAATGGTAAGTAGCAGCTGCTCTATGAACTAAATGGACAGGAGAATCCTGCCCACCCCCACCCCCCCTTCCTATTCCTGAGACTGGTACATATATACACAACACTATATATTGTATATACCTGTATTTCATTATAATACATTCTTTCCAACCAAGACAGCCTACACCTCCGCATCAGCCCTGGGGCAACACAATTTGAATGTCTCATGACTAGATAGATCAACAACTATGGCATTCCAATTTCTTACTCATTAAAGTGGAACTTCACTCTCTCTGTGAACATTGACTATTTTTCATCCTTATGCTGCTAGCATTGGTAAATAGATAGGAATATTATATTTACTTGTTTTCCTAAAATAATTTTTTTTTTTTTTTACATTTCTTCAGTTGCTTCCTGGTTTCTTGCCTAGGCAAATGATGTCATACATCCCAGGAGTCTTCATGCGGAGGAGTTGAGGAGGGGTTTCCTCAACTAAGCACACCCTCCTGCCTTTATGCCTGAGCTATGGGCAGATTGATTCCAGGAAGTCAAAACTACATGAATCATCTGCCATATTCAAAAAGGCCAGAGCCAGAAATGCTAGGGGGTGTTTTTGGAAGTGATTTCTTAGAAAAAATAAAGCTTGGAGACATGGATGGATGGGTGGGTGCTTTGTTTTGAATATTAAAAATGAATTAAATAGCATTTTTGCTTCGTGGTGCTCAGATGCAGTGTAGTTCCACTTTAAGATATGGAGCAGATTCTGATGCACAAGGTGAGCCTAGCACGTATACAATGCATGACAATGAGGGTGGTAAAAATCTGTTTGGATGGTTTGCAAATATTGATCTTTAGATTTCCCATACTTTATAGATGGTATTGTTTAATCACAATATGCACATGTCATACATACAACGAGTCTCCTGATGGAAATGAGGTTTTTCAGGGAGCGCTCTATGAGGGAGCTGGAGAAAAGATGCAGCACAGGCGGGGTCCAGGGGATGAAAATGGAGGACGACTAGAGAGGAGCATTTATTAGAGAGCAAACATGAACTAAGGATGAGGAATAAGAAGGTTGCTTATTACTTCACGGCTGCTGCTTCAGTTTCCGGTGTCGCTCAGGCTAGGAGAGGAGCTTCTTTTTGGGGTCTGAGGCTCAGAGAGACACGGAGAGCCCAGACTTCCCTGTGAACTGTAAAAGCAGTCGGCCTCCAAGGTTTCTGAAACTTCGTTCTGCGTGTGTGGAGAATTGGCTTCATCTCTGTTCTCTATTTCCTGGTACCAAGAACTCAGCGGAGAGCCAGAGAAGTGAGCAGAGCTGCGATTGCTCCCCGCGGTCTCTCTGGACGCTGGTGGAGGAGTTAGTGCTCTCACTGCACTGTGAAAAGACTTCAGAGCTCTCCGACTCCGTTGCTTCTCTAGACGTTCTTTTCTTGCTCTACGCCGCTGCTGCTTTCGCTGGTCCTTCACCATCTTCTTTCGAGAGTCCACCAGATTCCTAGCAATCAAAGGTCATAAAACAAGACGTTCTGAGAAAATAAAAGCTGGTGTGTGGCAAGGAGAACAGAAGAGGACTTCTGAAATAAGGAGAGTAGACCATACAAAGGACTCTCATAGTGTAACGTCCACCTACAATAGTATTTTTGTACCACTTTGTACTTCCAGAATTATGAGAAAACCTCCATACTAATCTGCTATATAAAGGGCCATCACTCACGAAGGATATATCTGGTAGAACTGCTCTAGCCTCCAAATCTACAACCCTCCTCCACCCAGCAGTTATTGCTTGGCCTCAATCTCTTCAGAAAGATTACTCCATCATATTCAAATGCAAAGCTTTCCTTTCCTAGGCCAAAGTGGAACACTGGTGTCTACACTGGACACAGAAGATATGCGCTGGATCTTGGTATCGTGTTGGCTATACTAGAGTGCAGGGACAAGGCGGAGAAAATACAGACAGGAAAGAGAAGGTTGTTGGAGGACCTGTCCAATCCTCTCACCTGTAGTCAATGGTTCCAGTCTGGTGTTTGTCCAACCTCTGCACCAGAGAGTCTATCTCAGCAGAATCCAGGGGGAGACCAGACAGCTGAGGAAAGGACATGGTCAGAGCTCACAGAGAATTATATATAAAGGGGAACATGGGCAAGGGGGTGTTATACACAAAGTACAGGTGAACACGTTATGATTAAAAGGGGTTCTAAAGTCTTGTCTTTTTTTTCTTTAAAATAATAAACACATCATACTTACCTTCTTGTGCAAAGGTTGGTGGTACTGGCTCCTCCCTTCTACCAAGTGCCCTCAGAGCAAGCTACTTGCGCTGAGGGCACTCTTGCGTGCTCAGTCCCGAGCCACCTCTGTGTGTTTATGGGAAACACAGAGCACAGCTCAATCACGCTCCCTCCTCACTGGCTGTGATTGACAGCAGTGGGAGCTAATGAGGAGAGTCCTGGGAGAGCCTTGGCTGTCGTGCACATTGCTGGATCAGGATCGGGCTCCAGGTAAGTATTAGCTACACCCTGAAGGTTTTTACCTTCATGCACATATTGCATGAAAGTAAAAGGCCTTTAGAACCACTTTAAGATAAGAAAACACTTTACAAAAACAGTTCTACAGAAAACTCCATCCAACACTCCAATGCAGGGATCTTGCACATTCTAGGGATCAATAATTATGCTCTGACTATATATGAATACCTTCTAAAAGGAAAGAACAGTGAGCGCTGGTCCTAAACAGCAGCTGAGCACTCTAAGCAACCGATAAGTACTTATACAGAATAACATAAAAAACAGTGCAGCGCTGAAGATATTAATAATAAAACAGAAATAAGTCCACTGCAAGTCCAGTTCATAGAGACATGTCAGATGACAAGTGGAAATTCAATGTTGGTGATCCGCGAGGAAGTGGCTGAAATACGCACTCACCAGAAAGAAGATATATATAAGCAGTATATATCAAAAGCCCATGGATCCTCAATCCAGAAGGAACAAAGCTGGTCTGGTCACAGAAAGTGGGTCCCTCCGTTAAAGATGCAACAAAAGATCTTCCTCCTCCCAGTTTGGTATTGGATTCCAAAGTCAGGGGTCTGCAAACAAAGTGCTCAATAAAGGGGTGCATACAGCAATACAGTGGACAGGATAAGGAGCTGGACACAGCTACTGCCAGTTGGGATGAAGGAGGGAACCATACTTCTGTCACTCTTAGCTGCCAGTCATGGAGGTCATATAGTGCTGTCTCCTCTGCCAGTCCTGCCAGCGGGCTTTTGATATATACTGCTTATATATATCTTTCTTTCTGGTGCGTATTTCAGCCACTTCCTCACGGATCACCAACATTGAATTTCCACTTGTCATCTGACATGTCTCTATGAACTGGACTTGCAGTGGACTTGTTTCTATTTTATTATTAATATCTTCAGCGCTGCACTGTTTTTTTTTAAGATATATGAATACCTAATGGCCCTTAAACACCCAGACAATGGGCAAATGAAGACTACGTTGTGTGTTGTTGGCCCATGGACAGCTGTATGCAGTCTGTGGGAACTCACCACAATGTACCGACAAAAGTCGCTGACCGGGACACTCATGCTGCCGTCTTTGTCCATGTTCTTGAAGAAGTCCAGCAGTCGCAATTTGCGTTCATCTAGGAAGTCCTGCAGAGGTAAATAACCAATGTTAGGCAACCAGATCAGAACACTAGGGCAATTTATCAAAATTGGCGCAGCCAGTATCTGGAGCAGTTGTGCATGGCAACCAATTAGCTTCTATCTTTCCTTTTCAAAGCTTTAACTGAACAAGCTGAAGACAGAAGCTTGGTTGTCATGCACTGCTGCCCCAGATGTTCTGATTTTGATAAATTCCCTTCAGAGTGTTGCCACAGTTATTGGAGGCAGGAAATACATTTAGTGCTTGATGAGATCACGAACAGACAACAACCACCAAGACACATACAGAGTGGAGACATGGATTACCTCCATATGCTGAGTGTTCTGCACATAAATGACATAAAAGGCAGCATCACCTGGATGACCTTCATAGGATCGGGGCGAGTTGGGCGCTTCTGTGCGATAAATCCTTGTTTTCCAGCAAACAGGACTCGTAGTCCAGGGCGAGAGATGGACGCCACTTCAAGGAGGGAGAGAAACTGCGGATTCACCAGAACATTCTGTAAAGAGGGGAGAGGTTCCTTAAAGTAATATTATTCCACATAGTTGACTTCATGTAACCATGTGGGCCCTACAACAGCGTAGGCGTGAAGTCCGAGGTCCATCACTGTTCTGTTTTGTTAATAATAAAGAGATCATTTGTTTATGCATTCATCATTTATAATATATACACACACACACACACACGTGAAACTCGAAAAATTAGAATTTCGTGCAAAAGTTCATTTATTTCAGTAATGCAACTTAAAAGGTGAAACTAATATATGAGATAGACTCATTACATGCAAAGCAAGATAGTTCAAGCCGTGATTTATCATCATTGTGATGATTATGGCTTACAGCTCATGAAAACCCCAAATCCACAATCTCAGAAAATTAGAATATTGTGAAAAGGTGCAATATTCTCGGCTCAAAGTGTCCCACTCTAATCAGCTGATTAAGCCATAACACCTGCAAAGGGTTCCTGATCCTCAGTCTGGTTCAGTAGGAATCACAATCATGGGAAAGACTGCTAACCTGACAGTTGTGCAGAAAAACCATCATTGACACCCTCCATAAGGAGGGAAAGCCTCAAAGGGGAATTGCAAAAGAAGTTGGATGTTCCCAAAGTGCTGTATCAAATCACATTAATAGAAAGTTATGTGGAAGGGAAAAGTGTGGAAGAAAAAGGTGCAGAAGCAGCAGGGATGACCGCAGCCTGGAGAGGATTGTCAGGAAAAGGCCATTCAAAAGTGTTGGGGACGTTCACAAGGAGTGGACTGAGGCTTGAGTCAGTGCATCAAGACCACCACACACAGACGGATCCTAGACATGGGCTTCAAATGTCGCATTCCTCGTCAAGCCTCTCCTGAACAACAAACAACGTCAGAAGCATCTTACCTTGGCTAAAGAAAAACAGACCTGGTCTGTTGCTCAGTGGTCCAAAGTCCTCTTTTCTGATGAGAGCAACTTTTGCATCTCATTTGGAAACCAAGGACCCCGAGTATGGAGGAAGAAGGGAGAGGCACACACTGCAAGATGCTTGAAGTCCAGTGTGAAGTTTCCACAGTCTGTGTTGATTTGTGGAGCCATGTCATCTGCTGGTTTTGGCCCACTGTGCTTCATTAAGTCCAGGGTCAACACAGCCATCTACCAGGAGATTTTGGAGCACTTCATGCTTCCTTCCGCAGATGAGCTTTATGGAGATGCTGACTTCATTTTCCAGCAGGACTTGGCACCTGCCCACACTGCCAAAAGCACCAAAACCTGGTTCAATGACCGTGGGATTACTGTGCTTGATTGGCTAGCAAACTCGCCTGACCTGAACCCCATAGAGAATCTATGGGGCATTGCCAAGAGAAAGATGAGACATGAGACCGAACAATGCAGAAGAGCTGAAGGCCACTATTGAAGCATCCTGGTCTTCCATAACACCTCAGCAGTGCCACAGGCTGACAGCTTCCATGCCACGCCACATTGAGGCAGTAATTGCTGCAAAAGGGGCCCAAACCAAGTACTGAGTACATATGCATGCTTCTACTTTTCAGAGGTCCGATATTGTTCTATGTACAATCCTTGTTTTATTGATTGCATGTAATATTCTAAAGTTTCTGAGATTGTGGATTTGGGGTTTTCATGAGCTGTAAGCCATAATCATCACAATGATGACAAATCACGGCTTAAACTATCTTGCTTTGCATGTAATGAGTCTATCTCATATATTAGTTTCACCTTTTAAGTTGCATTACTGAAATAAATGAACTTTTGCACGATATTCTCATTTTTCGAGTTTCACCTGTATATATATATATTCCTCACACTGGTCACTCACAGAGATGTCCAGGTCCTCTATTCTGTTTTCTGGCTTCCTGGTAATAGAACTCAGCAAGACGATGGCACCCTCTACTGTCAGTGGGTTCCTGGCGAGCTGCAAAGAATGGACAGTGGGATTTAAATTAAATGGCAGGAGAAGAGCAGGATGGAGGTCACAATGCCTGGAAACTCCGGCACACAATTACAGAATGGTTGTAGGAACAGCAGCTATGGAAAACAAAGGCCTGATAGTTCAGGATCTGCTGTAGCTTTCATCACCTGTCGTCTGTTACCATCTTGGAATGTGGCCATTATACAGAGCACAGTCTGATTTATGGTAAAATGTATGGCCACATGTACTGCGCCTTGAAAAAGTATTCACACCCCTTGAAATTTCCCACGTTTTGTCATGTTACAACCAAAAACGTAAATATATTTTATTGGGATTTTATATGATAGACCAACACAAAGTGGCATATAAATTGTGAAGTGGAAGAAAATGATTTTCAAAGTTTTTTACATATAAATGTCTGAAAAGTGTGGCGGCATTTGTATTCAGCCCCCCGGAGTCAATACTTTGTAGAACCACCTTTCGCTGCAATTATAGCTGGAAGTCTTTTTGGGGATGTCTCTACCAGCTTTGCACGTCTAGAGAGTGAAGTTTTTGCGTATTCTACTTTGCAAAATAGCTCAAGTTCTGTCAGATTGGATGGAGAGTGTCTGCCACCACCATGTTTCACGGTGGGGGATGGTGTGTTCAGGGTGATATGCAGTGTTAGTTTTCCGCCACACATAGCGTTTTGCTTTTAGGCCAAAAAGATCAATTTCGGTCTCATCTGACCAGAGCCCCTTCTTCCACGTTTGCTGTCCTCCCCACATTGCTTCTTGCAAACTGCATACGGGACGTCTTATGGCTTTCTTTCAACAAAGGCTTTCTTCTTGCCACTCTTCCATAAAGGCTAGATTTGTGGAGTGCACGACTAATAATTGTCCTGTGGACAGATTCTCCCACCTGAGCTGTGGATCTCTGCAGTTCCTCCGGAGTTACCATGGGCCTCTTGGCTGCTTCTCTGATTAATGCTCTCCTTGCCCGGCTTGTCAGTCTAGGTGGACGGCCATGTCTTGGTAGGTTTGCATTTGTACCATACTCTTTCCATTTTTGGATGATGGATTGAGCAGGGCTCTGTGAGACGGTCAAAAGCTTAGGATATTTTTTTTATAACCTTTTAGATTGTAAGCTCCTAGGAGCAGGGCCCTCCTAACCCTCTTGTATTGAACTGTATTGTTGCTGTATTGTCTCCCGTTATATTGTAAAACGCTGAGCAAACTGTTGGCGCTATATAAATCCTCTATAATAATAATAATAACCTAACCCTGCTTTAAACTTCTCTACAACTTTATCCCTGACCTGTCTGGTGTGTTCCTTGGCCTTCATGATGCTGTTTGTTCACTAATGTTCTCTAACAAACCTCTGAGGGCTTCACAGAACAGCTGTATTTATACTGAGATTAAATTACACACAGGTGGACTCTATTTACTAATTAGGTGACTTCTGAAGGCAACTGGTTCCACTAGATTTTAGTTAGGGGTATAAAAATGCACACCACACTTTTCAGATATTTGTAAAAAAATATTTTAAAACCATTTATCATTTTCCTTCCACTTCACAATTATGTGCTACTTTGTGTTGGTCTATCACATAAAATCCCAATAAAATACATTCACGTTTTTTGTTGTAACAGAACAAAATGTGGAAAATTTCAAGGGGTATAAAAACTTTTTCAAGGCACTGTATAAGCTGTCACTGGCTCATGGTGAGGCTGAGAAGAGTCTAAAGTAACCAATCATATTACAGCTAGAATTTTTTCCATTCTATGAAGGATGAAAGGAAGACTGACTGTGTTAATTCATTTTTGCTTTATGCCAGCCAGTTCCAAATTCAGACCTCAGCTATTTCTCCATGCTGTCTGTCCTGAGCTCAGCTTTTCCTCTTTTCTTGCTATAACTTTGGTGTTATTTGCCCATAATTCAGTTATTCCTCTGTTGCTGCCTTTCCTGAGCTCAGATATTCCTTTGCTGCGGTTTGTCCTGAGCCCAGCTATTTCTCTGTGCTGCCTGCCCTGAGCACTACACATTTGGGACTTACTCCCCATAACTCTGGTCTTCGTCTGATACAGAATGTTCTGAGTTCAGATATTCCGCTTGTATTGCCTGTTCTGAGCGCAGCTATTCTTCTGTGCTGCCTAGCCATTCTACTCCCACCACTTGGCCTGAGCTCAGTTTTCTTTTGTGCTGCCTGTCCGGAGTACTAAACCTATGGCATTGTCTGCCCATAACTCAGCAATTCCTCTGGTGCTGCCTGACATGAGCGCCGCTATTCCTCTAGTACTGCCTGTCCCAAGCGCAGCTATTCCACTATTGCTGCCGGTCCTGATAATATCTGTTCCTCTGCTGTTGCTCTGTGCTGCCTGTCCTGAGCACAGCTGTTCCTCTGGGCTGTCTGTTCTGAGTACTATACCTTTGACATTGTCTGCCTATACCTCAGCTGTTCATCTGTGCTGCCTGTACTGAACTCAGACATTCCTCTGCTGCTTCCTGTCTTGAGTTCAACAGTTCCTTTGGTGCTACATGACCTGTGTACTATACCTTTTACATTGTCTGCACAATACTCAGCTATTCATCTGGTGCGGTCTGTTCTGAGTTCAGCTATTTCTCTGTTGCTGCCTGTCCTGAGCTCAGCGATTTCTCTGTTGCTGTCTGTCCTGAGCTCCTGTGTTCTTATGTGTTGCCTGTCCTGAGCTCAGCTATTTCTCTGTTGCTGCCTGTTCTGAGCTCAGCTATTTTTCTGCTGCTGCCTGTCCTGAGCTCAGCTATTTCTCTGCTGCTGCCTGTCCTGAGCTCCTGTGTTCTTCTGTCCTGAGCGCAGCTATTCCACTATTGCTGCCAGTCCTGAACATATCTATTCCTCTGCTGTTGCCTGTCCTAAGCTCAGCTATTGCTCTGTATTGCCTGTGCTGGGCTCAGCTTTTCCTCTGTGCTGCCTACCCTGAACTCAGTTATTCCTCTGCTGCCTTCCTGAGCTCATCTATTTCTCTGTACTGCCTGTCCTGAGTACTATACCGTTGACATTGTCTGCCCATACCACAGGTACACATCTGGTGCTGCCTGTCCTGAGTTCAGCTATTCATCTGTTCTGCCTGCCCTAAATTCAGCTTTTCCTCTGGTGCTGCCTGTCCTGAGCTCAGCACTTGCTCTGTGCCTGTCCTGAACCTTATACATTTGCCACTGTATGCTCATAACTCAGCTATTCCTCTGGTGCTTCCTTTTTCTGAGCTTATTTAACTATGCTGTTTACCCTGAGCTCAGTTATTCCCCTGTACTGCCTGTTCTGAGCTCAGCTATTCCCCTGTACTGCCTGTCCTGAGCTCAGCTATTAACCTGTACTGCCTCTCCTGAGCTCAGTTATTCCCCTGTACTGCCTGTCCTGAGCTCAGTTATTCCCCTGTACTGCCTGTCCTGAGCTCAGTTATTCCCCTGTACTGCCTGTCCTGAGCTCAGTTATTCCCCTGTACTGCCTGTCCTGAGCTCAGTTATTCCCCTGTACTGCCTGTCCTGAGCTCAGTTATTCCCCTGTGCCATCTGTACATCTGTACTATGCCTTTAAAGCTCACTTATTTCCCTATGCTGCCTGTCCAGTGCTCAGATCTACCTCTGATGATGCCCGTCCTGAGCTCCGTTGTATTTCTGATGCTGTCCATCCCTGGTTCCCTGGTTTGATCTAAGCCTGATGGTAGGCATCATGTGAAGTACAATTCTTTCTGTGTCCCCCCAGGCCCCTGCACTGTGGGGTTGTAGGTTTACCTTTTGTATTATTACTGACCTTACCTGAAGCACACGCAGGTTCTCATTGCACTCCAAGCCTTTGCAGAAGAGCCGGACTCCCTCATTACTGATACGGTTGCAGCTGATATCGAGGTGAAGAAGGGAACTGTTGACTCTCAGAGCTTCTCCCAGCGCCAGAGCACCTTCATTGCCCAATCCATTATATGATAAATTCATCACCTTCAGCATCCCATTCACCTGTCCGAGGGAGAGGAATATCCTGTGCTGGGGTCATCTCATGCAGCAAAAGACAATATAAACTGTACAGAAACCTATGGCAACCAATAAGAAATTATCTCTGACAGTTCCACTCTCTCTAAACTGATTAAAGGTAAAGTCTGGTGGCTAAGGGTAACTTCAGTCGGTGTGTACAAATATAGGGGGTACCCGCAGGCCGGCACTCAAGGCGATGGCTCCCTTCATGCGGATGTGATTCCAGCTCAGATTCAGCTCCTGGAGACCCTCATTGGCAGCTGTGAAGGGACAGAAAATAGAGATAGGAACAGTGAGGGGCCTCAGCATAGGACGGCATCTCTCCTTGTACTGAACAATTAGTAAAAAGGAGAAGTTGGAGTACCCTCGGGTGCTAGGTCATTCCCAAAAAAGTTATACATTAGTGCCTCGTCCTGATTTAGCCAAAAAAGAAAAGAGGAAGTACAAATTATTATTATTATTATACAGTATTTATAAAGCGCCAATAGTTCGCTCAGCACTGTACATTACAAAGGGGGATAGAACATGTGACAGAACAATACCAATACAATGCAAAACATGAGGGGATCGAGGGCCCTGCTCTTTCGAGCTTACAATCTAGGAGATTTAAGGGCACAGAAACTACATACGCATATTGATAAAAAAGCAAAATAAAGTATAAGTGATCTTATCAATATGTGTATGTAGTTTTTGTGCCCTTAAAGTCCATTTGTACGTCCTCTTTTCTTTTTTGTACTGAACAATGTCCATCACTCACCTAGCATCTGACCCAAAAGCTCTCCTCCTTTCTCACAGAACTCATTGTGGCTGAGATCCAGGACTGTCATCCGGAAATTGGCCTGTTGGAAGGCAGACATAACTTATCACACTCAGGCAGAAAAACGCACAGACGCACATGGAAATGTGTCTGAGGATCCACCCAGAGGAGGTAAGAGGGGTAAAATTCCAATAGTGTGCACAATACAACAGGTTGCAAATGTCACTTCAATATCCTGTATATGAGCATTTTACTGCACCTCCCAGCATGACAAAAGAGCAGAGACGCAAGATACAAATGGAGAAACAGAAAAAGGGCGCACCGACCTAGTGCATTATCGTTTAAAATAATTTATTAAAGAAACAAAAATAGGTATCATACTCACAATGGACATAATAACACAAGCATGTCAAACTGAACAAGGTGTATGATCCAAACAACATCTGAGCCAACTTGGCTCAGAGGAAGAGGTTGTGTCCTCGAAACGCGTTAGAAAGTTGGTCATCCAGGGTTCCATTGTATGGACTCAGATGTTGTTTGGATCATACACCTTGTTCAGTTTGACATGCCTGTGTTATTATGTCCATTGTGAGTATGATACCTATTTTTGTTTCTTTAATAAATTATTTTAAACGATAATGCACTAGGTCGGTGCGCCCTTTTTCTGTTTCTCCATTTGTTGTATCCAGTGTATTCGGACCACCCCGGTCTGTTGAGGGCAGCAAGCAGTGCATATTCCAGAAAATTCCAGAACATTCCTATTGGGTCTACTGAGTCCTTTCCTAGCGCAGGAGTAAAGTGTTTGTTGTGTTAGCAGAGACGCAAGCCCTGCCTCTTAGCAAAAGTCAAACAGTTCAGGGAAGGAGAACTGAGGCACCATGGATCCTTATTTACCAAGCTACCCTAAATAAGAACTGCCCATTGCCTTCTAGCAGCCTGTCATTTCTGCAAAGGAGGTGTCTGAAGAGTTTACTGCATCTTGGTGTGCTGCTGTGACCCATCACCAGAGCCACCTCTGTCCCCATAACCTCCTGCATCAGTTTCCTTTACTGCTCACAACAGGACGCGACCTCTCTACACTGCTCAGAATCAGGACACTCCTTATGATGGTCACTTACCGAGAGAGCTTCTGCAAAATGTTTAGCAGACTGATCATTGAATCCGTTGTCTGGAAAAGAAGATAAACAATGGCAACAAGTATTATCTATGTACCGATCAATGGAGAGAACAAGCACGTGCAGCTACAACACATAAACAGCACTCTCCTTTTTTTTTTTTTTTTGCTGAACTGCAACAAACTTTATTGGTACCAGCTAGGTCTGACAGACATTCTCTCCCTCGTCAGTTGTGACTTCGTCCCCTGATGGGTGTAATCATAAGGCACATGTGTCAAACACAAGGCTCAATAGTCAAATCCGGTGTGCCAGGCCATTCCATGTGGCCCTTGCACCTCTTTTGCAGCTGCAGCACCCTCTCGTCTCTGCCCCCACCTTGTCTCAGTAGTCAACAGCAGAGAAAAGGACAAAACTACCCTGCCAGATCCAGTGCTTTTCTGTGCAGCCACGGAGAGGTTTGTCTCTGCACCCCACCATCTCAGCAGCAGAGAGGAGGATGGAATTATTCCTACAGATCCTGCACCGCTCTGTGCAGCCACAATATGCCCTCGTCTCAGCCTCCCCTGGTCTCAGCCTCCCCTGGTCTCAGCCTCCCCTGGTCTCTGCCTCCCCTGGTCTCTGCCTCCCCTGGTCTCTGCCTCCCCTGGTCTCAGCCTCCCCTGGTCTCTGCCTCCCCTGGTCTCTGCCTCCCCTGGTCTCTGCCTCCCCTGGTCTCTGCCTCCCCTGGTCTCTGCCTCCCCTGGTCTCTGCATTCAGCAGACTCCATCCCTCCTCTGGTCCATCTCTACCCTCATCTTCTTCCCGGTAGCAGCACATGGTAAGGTGGGTGCACTGTGGTGTAAGGGAGGGTAGGGGGACTGTTGATTTCTGATGGTGGGAGGGTCTTGTTATCTGATGTAAGGGGGGGGGAGAGACATACTCTGGACATCTAGTCTTACATCTGGCCCTTCAAGGGCAACCATAATGCTGATGCGGCCCCGTGATGGAATGGAGTTTGACAGCCCTGTCGTAAGGTTAAAGTGCACCCTAACTCATTTAAATAACTTTGTCTCTCCTGGTTCCTCCCCTTTCCCTTCTTCAGAATTGGAAATTTTTTTTCCCTGGAAATATTCTGCACCATTTTTGTGCTGAACCACAGCACTTCCTACTTTCTCGCCTAGTCAAGAATTACATGGTGACCCCCACTTCCTTCTGGGATGTCCACAGCACGTCTCGGAATGCTTTGCTGAGAATCTGCACATGTACCGACATGACTGGTTTTCTGACGGGTATTTGGGACCTGGCAATTACCCACAGCCATGCTTGTGTATGTGCGGAGTATTCCCCAACATGTGCACATGATACAGGGCTCCACAAAATCCAGGATACCAGCAGCGGGTGTGCGCAGGCGCAGGAATACCCTGCACATGCGCAGAGAGGCGAAGGTCTTTGCCATGCCAGGTCTGGGGAACATCTGAACATGATAGCAGCACAGAAGAGGAGCAGCAGGAGGAGACTTTCCCTCATGTCACTTTGGGTGAAATGACACTTCTGATGAGGGAGAGCATGATGTCTGACCAATCAGTTTGTTGCCGTACAGCAAAGTGCAGCTTATGTGTTTGTGTGCCTGGAGAGGAGAAGGGCCACCCTGAGAACCTGTGCACCTGTGGCCACCCAATGCATATATGTTTACCTGGACCATGTGTCTACACACATTTGCATTTAGGCATGTGTAGCATGTAAGAGCTTCATTCTACACAGACTGATATAGGCACTCAGCAGGGAAATGAGGGGGGAGGAGCTCTGTTGGGGGGCCCCCAGCTGCTGCCACCTGCAGTTCCACGTCAGGATTAGGCCTCACTGGAAGACATGGCAGGTAGGATTTATTCAGCATTCTAACTGTATAAAATGATGGGTTTTGTTCTCAGCATACAATGTCTCTAGCCTCTTGTCTGCCCTGAATGGGTTACATGTGACTTTTCCTTACTCCAGACTTGGAGTGTCCCTTTCCAATTCATTCCAGTACATATCTTTCATCCCAGTTCCTTTTCGTGCTGGCTGAAGAACGGTTTCCAGAAAACTCCCAAAGGCCAGCTCCACCCTGAACAGTTGTCAGGTCAGACACGTTGTCATGATTACCCCATCAGCCTGCTAAATTTCACATATATTGGAGAGATATTTCTGAAGCCAAACAGCCAACAAGTGCTGAATTCCCTTCCCCCCCCCCCCCAGAGGAATGTACAATGTCAAGTATTGTCCTAGAAGGTTGTCCGTGCTGGTATAAAGTGGCATCCTGCTGTCATAAATCTGACCTGACCGTATGCCGCGGTTACACTTCTACCCATCTGTCTTGACACACAAATTGGGGACCAAGCTGCCCATGGAAATAATCTTTTTATCACATGCGATATTCTCACCTACTTTATCCAGTTGGGATTATGAAACCAAAAAAGTGAAAAGTGATTCTCGTTATTGTTATACCTCATTGTCTATAACCAACCCCGACTGCCATCTAAAGCCTCTCCCGACCACGGCCTATAACCTCCTTTGACTGGCGTCTCATTGGTCTCCTCCAATAACGGTCTATAACAACCTTTCTCAACCATTTTACCTCATAGGAGCCCTTGAAACAATTTTCAAGTTTCATGGAACCCTTGCGAAAACTAGTCCATTGGGAAAATGCCCCCCTTACATTGGTGATCAGTGGGAAGAATGTTCCCCTATACAATGGTGGTCAGATCACCCCGTTTGCAGTCATGCTGATAGCTTTACCAAGTGGTGTTGGACTTAGAACTATGTAGACACCATCAGATGGGAGGTCAATTAGAAACAGCTTGAGGAACCCCTAGATACCTCTTGAGGAACACTCGTTGTTAATGGCTGGTCTAGAACCTCCCCTGACCACCGTCTATAACCTACCCTGACTATGGTCTATAATCCCCCCCCCCTTTTCTGGGACACTTTAGTGTTTAGTGGGATCTGTCATGTATAGAACCCGCACAACAACATTACTGTTATTCCCTACATAAGGGATTCAAGATGTATACCAGGAAATTGCTCCTAGAGGTTTATATAGTCAACCACCCCACAATAACAGAGAGACTCCTATAAACATTTTATGTAAC